ACAATAATATTGAAAGTGAGAATTAATTAATGTGAGCAATTAATTATACAGAAACTGAAGAGTCAACACGTTACCGTAAATATATACTTCCGTAATTTGACGAGCGTAACCGCGCATTTGACAACGGAAACAAGCAATTTTGTAACAAAAAAAAAGTAAAATTTCAACTGAAAATTTTGTTTGTGTCTTTTTTTCAAGCCAATAGCACTCACGTATTGTGTAGGCATCGTATACAAGCACCATGCGCATTTACGTCATTCGACAGAAAATGACGCTGTCATAAAAGCGAAGAAACAGCGAATCTTGAAATACGATTTTCTTGAGAACTAAGCCGAAAATCAAAAAATTTTATTCTTCGTTTCTCTCTTATTTTTAAATAAAAAATTCATGATGTCTTCAAAAATTTCTAACCGATATCAATTTTTGTGTTGCATGAAGTTAAATTTTATATTTTATAAAAATGTGTTTGGTGAATTTTTTTTGAATGATTAATTTGTGTATCGATGTGGAAAAAATACTTTAAACACAGGCTAAGATATAAAAACAGACTAGTGTAAGGTTACTACAGTTTCGCTTTAATATTTAACAAGGAGTTGTTTTTCTCTGTCTCTCTCGGTTTCAGAGAAACTTTTAAGAGAATTAAATAAGCATTTATGTATGGTTCTAAAGTGTTGAAGTTTTATTAAATCACTACTTTACAGTTTACATTGTAGGGCACAGAAATGTGATATTTTGAAACTGTTTAACCACCAAAGGTAACAGAATTTGGAAGTTTGAAAATTATTTGTTCATTCAATTTCTCGGAACATTTACTATCCTACATGAGCGTCAAAATATGATCACAGACTGAGTAAACGCCTAACCAGACTTTACTGTATCTATTTACCAGTTTAACCCGCGACTGATTTTAGGTTAACGAAGCATAGATAGATTATAACCAGACTGGAGAGGAGATTTCATTATGATTTGACTAGTTAACGCCCTATGTCAACTAGTGGTTAAATATTGTAGAGGAAAGTACTCTATCATCGCATAAGTTCCTAATGTACTACAGTGGACTTTCGTGAAAGCTATAACATAGTTGTAAACCATAAAATAATGGCATCTTAGTGTACACTCTTTTCAACAAACAAACAACGTTATCTTTTGATCTAATTAAACAAAATTACATATACATTAACAGAATTAAAAATATTAATAAAATAATTGTTAAATGAATTTGTTAAACGCATCTACGGTAAAATGAAAATAATTTCAGTATCAAAATTAAGTTACTAAGGCGATTAAATAAAATTGAGTAGTAAATGAAAATTCTGCATTTGAATGTGAATTAAATTCACATTTAAACAATATATTTTTTTCTTGATAAATTGTATTTACAATTAATAAACAAATCTTAATAAGTCAATATATCAATTAATAAATCAATACATTATATATATTAAAATGAAAATGAAATGCAATTTAATCATAAATTGCAATTTTAACACCAGGATAGAAGAAAGCTTTCTGCAATTTATAAAAATTTAATATTAATATTCATTTAAATAACCCATGTTAATAAACAGTATAATTATCCACAAATTGATTTAAAAATTATTAAAATTAAAAATATTAATAATGTAATAATTCAAATTATTAATAAAGTAATTAATAATGTAATAATTAATATGAATACAATATTAAAGATTACATACCCTAATATTTTAATTAAATTTTTTAAATGGAAAATGAAATGCAATTTAATTATAAACTGAAATTTTAGACCCAGGAGGTAAAAAATGTTTTTCGGCGTTTATTCCTGTGGCGAGATAAATAAAAAAGGTCGTTAATCACTATTTTAGCTAAAGGTTAAACGTCCATCTGAGCCTGAAACGAAGATATCAACATTATCAAAGGTTGGTCAGTTTAATGCTTGTGGTAGAATTCATATTTGTGCTAGTATCTGGGCAAAGTCTGACATTTGGACTTTTTTTCGATGACACGAACATAACAAGCACCAGAGCGGCGATATAATTTGAACATTTCTGCCAGGGTGACACGTTCGCAATTTATTTTCCTGGTCGCATTTACCTTACCCCTATCGTGACAACCACTCTTTCAGGAAAATAAAAGTTGCCGACCACTGCAATGTAGCGAAGCGAGGAAAGGAACGAAAGAAAGAAAGAAAAAGAAAAGGTAACCCGACTTGAAGAAAACGTCCGGCATTATTGCGATAATGCAGCGTCGTCTTCCGTGGGCAACACGCGGTGTATCCATTACTTGATTTTTACTTTTATCACTGTACGTGTGACCGCCACGAAATATCCACCTCTAAACCTTATATACCGAGCTCTGATTGGACGGATGTTCGTAAATTGCTTTTCCCTTCGCCGTTCGTTAATAGCCAGACCGAGAATTGAATGTTCAATTTCTTGACTATGTCTGAAATCATTCCGTAATAACGTTTTCTACAGCCTCGACGCAGAATTGATTGTCTAGGCTTTTAACTCCTACATTTTTTAATCACCACATTTCCGATTTTACAGATTTTTCATATTTTAAATTTTCAAGTTTTTAAATATATGAATATGGAAATATCGAATTAATTTCTGAATTTTTGAAGTTTTACATAACTGAATTTTCATGGTTAGAAATACGGTAATTTGAAAATTTACAAATATTGAAGTATTGAACTTTTAGATTCCCAAATTTAGAAATTTAGAAATATTTAAATTTTCGATTTTCATGTTATTCAATTAATGTAAAGTTTTCAGACTTCCAAATTTACAAATTTATAAATCTTAATATAATTATATTTAAAAATTCACTTTAGAAATTTAAGAACATAAGAAACGTAAAGAATATAAAAATATAAACTTTTTGGATTTGCAAATGGTCATCAAATTATTTATTATAATTCGTAAAATGAAAATATAAAATGAGTATATAAAACACATTTACTGCAGACCGAAGCAACTGCAATATATTTAAAAAAAAAATCTAGTAAACGAACATGACATTGATTAATTATCTTGTTCAAGAAAACCAGTTACTGTTTATTTTCAAAATTATGAGATTCGACAACAGATGGAAGAAAAAGAATTTGTCTTCCTTTTATGTTTTAAAATCATTAATCATTAAAGTTATTTATTTTATCGACATTCTTTGAAACAATATTCACATTAAATTAAAATTGATCGTAAACGCGAGATGTGCAAAAAACGAACAGCTGCGAGCGAAGGATTCAATTTAGAACTAATGAAGCGCACATGTCACAAACTTTTCTCGACAAACAGCAGAACAAAAAGTATTGGCAACTACATTTGTATACACCCTCACTTTTGCTTCCTTCGTTCATGTTTCATTTTCTTCCTCGGGTTTCTCAATATTACTTTTTTTTTACTACAGAAAGCAGTTTAAAGCGCAAAGCTAAAATCCACAAAAACATTTATATCGTGACTACGTAATCCAACAAAAATAAACTAAAATAAAGTTGAATAAAATAAACTATAATACAATACAATTTACATATTGTATTTTTACAATACAATTTTGCAATACAATAACGTAATTAATTTACGTTAAAAAGGAACGTTAACACGTTCGCGCTGGGGTGACTCACCGGTGGGTCACGCCGCCCCTCAGAACAGTCAAACAAAAAATAAAATGTCGCCCGTGGGGCGACGTGCATCACAGGTGGGTTTTCAAAAAATAAGTTTATTTTATTTTTTGTCAACATTATAAACAAAAATTGAATATTATAAGCATTAACATTCAATATTTTAAATTGATAATAATTATTTATTTATAAGCATGCAACTTTTTAAAACATTCTAAACATAATGCGGACTGGCCCTTACAACTTTCACAATATGTTCTTACTTTTTTACTTTTTTTCGCGGCGTATAATCTACCTTGTATTTTCGATAATTGTTTGTAACATTCTTTACATCGTTTTCTTGTTTTTCTGGCAGCCCCTTTGAACGATTGCAGAAAATGTGTGTGTTTTCTTGACCGTTTTTTCTTTTCTATTTCACATTCTTCGATTTCTCTGTGAAAAATTCAAAAATGAAAAGTGCTAATCGCCTCTATAGAAGAAAAGATAATTTTACCTACCTTTACACTTGATGCAAGAAATGTGTGTTTCGAAAACTCAATGTCAAAACTGTTTTGATCTCGTATTTAGCGCGTTCGAAGCTTCAAAGGATTAACAATGTCGTCCCGCCCCACGAAGAAAAATGTAAATATTCGCCCCGGCGTGAACGTGTTAAACAAGCACAACTGTTTTCCATAGGATGTACCTGAGCCAATCGGAACGATTCGGCAATCTTCGACAATTTACGGCGCGCGAATCCGTTGCTGGATCGCGACGGTTAGCACGTGGCAATTGGAATAAATTTTGAAAGCGCATATTAAAGATGCGTAATAAAAATTGTTAATAAATTGTTAAATTAAAGAAGAAAGTCGTAGAGTTCATTTCAAAATTCCAAAAGTTTTCAAATAACAGTGAAATTGTTAATGGGTTTTGTGCATCGATACTATAAAATAAGAACATTTATTAGAAACTAAACTAAAACTTGCAAGCTGAGAATGAAAATCAGCAATGATACCTAGACAGATTTACAGTACAATCTTCCTTATATTAAGGTTACCCATACCACAAATATTATACAGATTGTAGTTTTTTACAGTATTGTTCATTATTACTCAAATTTGCTGGAGTTAAATTATACCATAATATATTTGGCTAAAAATAATTTCAGTCTAAGGTTGCACCACTATCAAAATAAACATCTTTCCCATATCGTTAATCTCCCAAGCTTCCATCGCTCAACTATTACGGAATTTCAATTATTTCCACTGTATATTTCTTGCAGATTAAAATATCAAATCAAGTTTTATCTATAATTATCTTATATCTTCTTTTTTAATGAATTTGTTTCATTTTCAACATAAACGACTCATTTAATAATTAAAAATCACGTTATACAAATTAAACGAGCTTTTTTATGTTTCAGCGACGGAGAAGAAGTTTGATCTTGTTCAGCACAAGAAGATTATCGACGGCAAAAACGGAGTGAAGATAACGTGCAACGCAGAAGGACTATATCCGGAGCCGACACTGGATTTATCCATCGAGTACGTATCCAATTTTTTCTAATACGTTCAGCATGTAGAAACGTGTAGACGAGAAGGGTGACGTTGGGTAAAAAATTATCCAGACATCACCTGACAATTTTTTTCTTTTTGTCGGATCCGTGTTGGGCGATATTTCTTAATATCCCTGCTTATTAACTATTATTTTACCATATTATTAAAAAGTAAATGTTATGCTTATTAAAAAGAATGTGAGTTTCTTTGGTATAATTCAACATATACTTTTATTTTAAAAAACAGAAACATAAGTTATAGGCATTTTTATTGCTAGTTAAAACACTCATTTCTGCAAATAAAATTTATAAAACGTGAAAACAAAAAAGAGAAAACAAAATAGCATAATGTTTTAAAATAGTAGCGTAATAGTAATTTACAACAATGAAACGGATAAATTGTTTTGTTTAAATCAAAATTATTATGCAAAATTAATTGCTGTACTTCTTACTTTGTTTTAGTAGATTTTTGAATAGGAAATATTGAAATGTATAAAGATTATAAATGTATGCAAATATCTAGATTTCAAAATGTTATTTAATGAATGTATTCTTAATCAAAAGTTATAACTTTACTGTCCCCCTTTCCCCGATTTCGTCTCTTGGGTCAATTTATCATCTATACAGGGTATCTCATAATTGGTGTAGTGGGGCGTAGCTGACGTAATTCTGTGAGGGGTAGCTGACGTGAATCTAAATAAGATTTCCCTTTGCAAAAATAGGGTTTGAAGGTTCGTTTTTGAATTATTAAGGAAAAACACACACCAATCAGTGCGAGGATTACGCGCGCTCAGCCACTAGGCTCGAAGCTGTCGCTCTCGCGTCTGCGCATGCGTAATCCTTGCGTTCTGATTGGTCCGTGTTTTTCCGTAATAATTCAAAAACGAAGCTTCAAACTACATTTTTGCAAAGGGAAATCTGATTCAGAATCACGTCAGCTATTCCCTATTTCAGAGACCTACACTAATTGTGTGACCGCATTGTTCGTTTTTCAGAGGTCGTCCACTGAAGCAACCAGTGAAGGTCAATACTGCACAAGCTTTCGGGAGCGAATACTCTATTTCATTAGAAATGGAGTTGCTGGACGAACAGTTACCAGGAGCGGCAATTATTAAATGCTTGCTCGGAATACCGGCGGCAAACTATAGCGTTTTTAACGAAATTGTCTATTATCCAGGTTAGTATAACATATTTCAATGTACTCTATTCACTTTCATTTCATATTTTCTGTCATCTTTTCTCTTTCTCTGCTTTCTGACAACCAAATGTGCCCCATATTTGATCTTGGTTGTATTATAAAATAAACAAAGAATAGCTACAGAAATGTAATTAGCGTTGCACGGATTAACAGTATTTATTTTTCTTGCGTCCTATGGAATACGATTCGTGTTAACTTTTTAACTGGAACTCCATATACCGGTTAATTCTTTAATGGCACTTGTTTTTACAGCATAAATATTTGTTTGAAAAAATTTGTTACTATATTATGAGAATATTGTACACATTGTAGTCATACTGTATTAATATAGTTTTTTCACTGTGTTGCAAACGTGCTTTATAAAATCTGCTACATGATTCTTGAGTTTTGTTAAAAATGATGTTTTAAGCACTTCAGATTTTATAATGAATAAAATTATGGAATATTCAATATTGTGCAAATATTTCTTATTTTCTGTAATTATGTTTACTGTGTCTTCTGTTGCTTTGCTAAATTTACAATACTTTGCAAAGAAGTTACAAATTTCTAGATTAATTTTTTTTTAAATAAATTCTATAAGTAGGACATATACGTTTACCATTATTTTTTATTATTATTACTTACGGAAATAATTATATAACAATGGAACCAAGCTGTTATTCTGATATTTTGACAAATTTGTACACATTGGTTTTAAGGACCACAATTATTAATTTATAAGCTGTTCAACACCAAAATTACTGTCTCTGTTTATCTTTTGAAGAAATAGTTTTGCCATTATTCATTATTGTCGCAAGTTTGGATTTCTTTAGAGCAATTTTTTCAGAATGTTTTAATTTTTCGTTTTCTCTTTCTTGAAATAAAGAATGAATATAACGTTTACTATTTGTAATTAATTTTTCAATATTTTCAATATTAATTTTATTTAGTTTTAAAAATGTATTTTGAATTTTACATCATCATGTTGACATAAATTAGTTTAACCAATTATAAATTACAACTAGAATTTTAATAGGGAGTTTTTTCATTAAATTGCAATTTTAATTTGCCTTTTAGAAGAATTGTTATTCACATTTCAAGTAATAATTAAATAGGATTAATAAGTAAATGAAATACATTCATTATTCTGAAACACATAATAAAAATTGAGTAGTTCACTCACTCGACTGACATTTCACTAATTACATCGAAATAACAGTTGAAAAAAATTAGCCTACACTTTCGAAGATAATAAAAGTTATTAACTTTACTGTTAAATATCTTGTAAACTACAAAAATTCGTAACACAAAGTTAGGTTATTACTTCAGTATCTATCCTTAGAAGAGTTAAAGCTAATTAACTTTTGTTTTTACTATAGTTTGCTGCAATTTAGGGTCTTTAGGTAAATTATTTGCTAATTTTCCTAATTACTCATTATTTATTTTAATGTTTTTAAAAATGTATCATAACTCGATACCGTTTTGTACCGTTTTGATTTATAGCTGTATATGTATACTTTGCAACAATCAATAAATAATATATAATTACGAATGAAATGACATTTTGAATAGGTAACAGCGTTACAAATTATTTAAATTTATAATTTAAAATGACTTCGAATATGTGGCTAATATATTATTGCAAACTATAATATAATATACTATAATTATTTAATATACATTATTATATTATATTATATTATAAATTATTATTATACCATCATTTTTTTATTATATACTATAATATATTATTTTAGAGTTCATTCAATATTCTAATATAGTATATAGTTTGTTCAATAATGTTCAATATTTTAAACAAAATCAGTCTAAATTCTAGACAATCAAAATTCTAGACGGACATATTATAACTGCAAACGATTCTCATAATAGCTTCAACCCGTAACGGTCACATTGGGGTATGAAACAACCCCAGCCAATTTAACTTCAATTTTAGCTACTGTATATCCTGAAAATATGAATGAAAATCTTTTTTGAGACCACACTGGTTTTACTATTTTTTTTCTCAAATTGTTACATCTCAAGAGTGTCCAGCTACGATTGCAGCTGCTTATCCAACAATTTAGAATTTTTCTGTAAAAAACCGTCATTTTTCAATTTCTTTTACGTTTTTGAATTTTTAAATTTACTGAAATCAGCTGTGAAATATATTAAAACAACTTTCAAAAATTGTTTATAATTTTTTTCAAATTAAAACAATGAGAAACTTTAGTGACCAGGGTTTTGAACGCCCCGGTGTGCTAAATGTTATTTGGATGAAGGACTGTGAAGAGTTAAACAATATTTCTCGTAATTTCCACTCTCTAAACGCTAATTCTTGTATCATTGTTTCTAAGTAATTATAATTAATAGTTAATAATAACACTGTTATTATCAATTATGCAATTATTATTCTATGCAATGTCAATAGAAAATTTTAAGCTAGCTTCACCACAGAACCTGTCCATGACTTTCAATGTCAATGGTATAAAAATGAACACATTTTGTTGCATATTTTACCACTTAATCGTCAAGGGGAAATCGACTCTTCAAAACTTATACATATTTAACCGTTACGTAGGTTTATGATACGTCAATTTTATAGTCCCGGATGAACATGTGGACTTCATTCCAATATACTACGAAATATTACAACTTATGTTGCAATATTATTTATAATCTTAGAAATAATAGAATTCGTACACTCATCCTAAATTCAGTCCTTGATGTCCCTAAGTTTTTGATGAAAATAAAATCATAACATGCAATGACTTTCAGGTTTTATATTTAAATCATGTCTTTGTAAGCAAGAAATTCTGTTTCTATCAGATTGTTTTACTGTTAATATCTACAATTTATTCTGTGGAGAATAAATAAAATAAATTAATATAATACTTTCTATAGTTAAACTTAATTATTTATATAATGATTATACGAAAACAGTAGTTCACTCTAAATTTAGGATTTCTCCTAAATTTCCTTAGAAATTCCTAGATTTACCTAGATACCTTAGAAGCATCCTAAACTTATTGTTAGAAGAAATAGTATAGTTTTTTTTATCATTCATTCTGTAAAAACTGCTTTAAAATTTCATTTCCAATTTTAACCTTTACATTTTATTCTTCAATAATTTGCTATGTCATATGTAATTTTATTTCGAGTAATTGTTTTTTGATCACACAGATAAGAACCATGCAACAAAATTGAGATTATCAACTATTGTAAATCTCGTGTGAGTCGTGTAACTCGGTCATACGATATTCTAGGAAAACGATCTACTTTTTCTGCTCAGCAAATTCGTGTAATTTTTCGCAACTTTATTTTGACTTGTGTTAATTAGAGTTATTTCGTGTTTCGGTGTCGAGTTAATATCGTAGTTTCCAACACTGAGTTCTGACCAAATTAGTTTTTTGCGTGGAACGATCATAAAACGAAAAGAGAAACAGTGAAATATGCAAACACAGCATTTCCGATATCAAATTAAATTATTAAGATTAAAGAAACTATGTAGTAACATTCTACGAAATATAATACAATTTCTGTATCCGGTATAATAATCAATTTTGCTTAATTTTTTTAAATATTTAATTTTATTTTCATGAATACAATGTGTTTAAGTCAATAAAATTCTTCTTGTAATTGAATAGTATATTAATATAAATATAATACAGTAGTTTCTTAATAAGTTATTAACAAATGCTTAATTTTGATTTCTTATTACTAAGATGTAGGGTGTCCCATCCAATTTGCACATTCCAAATAACTCAACTTTTACAAAGGTCAACTTTGTTATTTAAAAATTTGTTTGTTATTTAAAGTTCGTAAATATGGCAAAAATCTAGCTGGAATAATTTACTTTTGAAGAATCGATTTAATAAAACTACATAGTTTAAAACTGTAAAACTAAATTCTTTACTCCCAAATTTTTCATACTTCATATTTCTGCACTGCTATTTAATAAAATTACTTATCATTAGAATGATAAATAAGAAATTATAACTCAACTTATAAAATCAATGATTGTCTCAAGTACATTCGTGTAGCATTCAAACGTAAGTGACACGATGATCAAGGTAATTATCCGATTTATTTTATTACACGTGTGTTACTGTTGTTCTGACAACGTCTCTTTCCCTAAAACGACATTCCAGCAGCGAGAATCAGGTTCAAAGGCAAAATCGTAAGAGGATAACCGAGGGGTCAAATGGTGGTCTTGGGGTGTGCATCACGTTAACTCACAAACGGTCAGGTATTTTGCTGTGAAACTTGTAACCAAGTCCTTCCTTTTGCCTCGTTACCATCTTGACCAAGAAGGGTTTTCGCCTCATCAGGTTGCAGCAACTTACAAGGGAGACGAAGAAAAGGGCTACATGACACCGGTTAAATTGCCGGTGCTTCCAAGCAGCACGCTTGTCTATTATCATCCAATTTACTCTACGCGAACTAAAGTTTCCAAGTTAGTGGAGTTCTAAAAAAAGCAGCGCAAGCCAGACGAAGAGAGGATAGAAGGAATACACACGTTGATATCTTGGCTGAAGCACGAGCCACAGTATGACGCTTTCACAGAGAATTCTTCGTTAGCAGTTCGTTTCACGTTTTTGCCAATTTGTGTCAGCAGTCTATTCGACTGTTCCTCGCCCGGTAAGCTTCGCGATTTGCTTCAGTGACTTTCACGGGGGACTCGTTTATTATTGATACGTACGACTGCGAAACGGGACTTCAAGTGGAACAGGTGTACGCAAACTCCAATTGGCTAGCGATGGAGCTACTCGGAGGGCAAATTGATTAATCTTACTTTTAGTAAGGTAGTGTCGTGGATCGATGCTGGAACCTATTTTTAGGTGTACACGAATAAATGTATTAACAATAATAACACTATTATTAAACAATACATTGATTCAAATAGTCTTTACTTACGTACGACACGGAAGCGTTTCTTTTCACTGCAGTGTTGTAATGGAGCTAACTTGATCCTTCTGACCGTTACCGAACGTCTCCGAACC